ATACTCAGGAGTTTGGGTACGTCATGCTAACCAACTGAAAGCAACTTCGATAGCCAGCAACGAGACTCAGTATCGAATACCCCTTGACGTTCTGCTGGACTTCTTCGAAATTAAAACTCCTAGAACAGACAAGTCAGCTTCTGTGCAAGCAAGGAGTGACACGACTTCCTTATTGCCGAGAAGATGGACTAATCGAAAGTACAAGCCAGTCACACGGTTGCAGTTGGACCCTAGCACCAGATCCTACGAATGTGCTCAAAGGGGAGGTTTTAGCAGACATAGAATAAAGCATGACGGCGTCAGCCGCGCGCTGATTGGCTAATTTCCTATCCAATCAGTGCCTGATCGATTCTTGGAGAACGGGGTAGAAAATTCTCGTACTGTTAGCTGGACTCTGATCGGCTAAATCTAATCCAGTCGATCACGTGAATTTCTATCCAGAAGCTTCTCATGTAAATGCTATAAAGAGACTAACGTTCTATCTATTTTTGCCTTCGGCTTCTCATTTCCATTTTAACCTTGCTATTTGGAATATAATCTTCTCCTTTTCCACCGTGTTTTTGATTCTTTGGAACTTGTCCAGTGTATTGTGGTCAGAGAATTCTAAGCAATAGGAATTAGCTGGGAATTATTCAAGCAAGCGTTACAATAGACCCCAATCTATTTCCAGGTTATTGTACTCTGAAAATTCTGGAGCCACATGGACTTACCAAGCTTCAGTGATAGGCATGATGAATAGAGATCCCTAAACAGCCCCACCTAACCATAAAAGTTTTACTATTTTTCGCTCCCATGACTTGAATGCCGCATTCTTCCCAATTCTTCTTCCAGTCTATCAGCACACGCAGGATTTCTATTGATCTTTAGACAACCTCTAGCGCACGATGACTCCATAAGTTTTGTATCGAATCAACGTCGCATTGGTTCACGTACGATTGTGATGTAGCACACTTGGTTCTCAACCTCATGATCCTTGAAGCCTAACACATGATAACCGATAGGGCTTTCGTTGAAAGTCTTACACATGGCGTAGGTCCGAGGTGGTCAATACGAGAACTTTTAATGAAGATTGAGTGTTTCGATGAGGCAGATGTCTTCACTTTGTGTAACCTCTTCCTCCTCATGTACAACATGTTACTCTAACCTTGGACCAAAGATTTTCTTCAGAAATACAAAGAAGCACACTTCCGACATTCAAAACAGAACGAGCCGACATATATACACATGTTCGATCAGAAAGCAATGTGTAGATATCATTGTTCGTTGACATTCAGTTTTATAATCTACAACTTCATTAATTTTTATAACGTATATTTTTTTGGATTACTGTTGATTTAAAGCTTTTTTATTAGAAGACGAGTATGAATTTAACAGTTTTCAGCCATTAGAATAGTGGAAAGGCTTAAAGTATTGAGGGAGTGAAAACACCCATTTAATTAAACGGATCAATATTTAAGGACCAGTGGCACTCCATTTCACAAACTCATTAGCTGAATGAGGAAAGTTTTAGGGAAAAAATGCTGTGTAAAATACTGCTAAACGCCTAAACAAAATATAAGTTCGCAACTAGCATTAGCTGGCCAACGTCTCTTCTATTTCTATTTTGATCAAATATTTTCAACTGAAGTGTCAAGTGGGAGAGCTTACTCATTAACTTTTATTTAGAAGGACCATTCCGATTTTATAACATAAAATGATTACAGCTGTTTGTAGATGTTTTGAGCCATTATTAATAGTGTGAAGGTCACATTATTAGGCCTATAGTCGTTGGTATAGCTACGTCTGCCTGTTTTCAATCTGCAAAGTTATAAACAATGCTTTCCAGACATAAGGGTGGGTTCCATATTCATGTGCATGTTGAACAGTTTTAAGCAGAATAATGGAAATCGCACACTACGATACTTCATGAGCGATGCAGAAATATCATCAGGTCCAGTGTCATCAAACTTTTCCGAGGCATTTGTAGCCAACTTGATGTTGGTGGACGAAAAGTCAGCTGTGGATATAAGCATAGATAATAACGTTGATAGATGTTACAGTTTTTGTACAGTACCAACGAAAGAAATGGTGACTAAGTTGTTCGCGAAAAATGTCACTGTTGTGGTTGTATGAGGGTGTCTTGATTTGACATGGGATTTGAACAGCCGAATTAATGATAAGTTAGGTCACATGTTTGACGTGTTATTTTACAGACCATACAGGCTGGTGTAGTAGGTTCATGCATGCCATGAACGAGTTCAACCGAAGTTAGTTGGACACCAAATCCTAGCGCACAATGAACTGAGAGTAATAAGATAGGTGTATCTGTGAATAGATTAGGCCTTCACTTGTCGAAGGACATGTTCTACCATCAGGAGTTGACAAAGAGCCTAAGATAATTCCCCTATTTGACAACCTCACTTTTGTTCATTTGAAATAAGGTGATGTCCTCTCCTTATGTGGTTATTTAGCCCAGACCCCCAAAATCGTCGCAAGATTAACTCTATGGTGGATCAAACAAATGTATGGGCTAAATCGTGCGACGTATCACCACTACAATTTATCTTTTTCATCTGGAAGCAGTGGAAACTCTTCAGTCAGACTCTGTTCACTGGCTAATAAGTGCGTGCTCTGACAACAAATAGCCAAACTCATACTACATACGGTTGTTTTTTAAATTTTTGTTGGGTAACTACAGTCTCAAAGATTGTGACACTTGTTCTAACTACATTTCCTTCTATGCTGTCAAGAATGGTAATGGAATGTATAAGTTAATGAAATAATCTTAAATATAAGCAATGAAATTTCGTGCAATTATAACCTTTAATAAAAGCTGTTCTATTGCTTAAAAGCTATACATTTAGATTGCGATTTTTACGAATTAATGCGTTACACTAGTCTGGGATGTTATGTAGGATTTTTTGTTGCTCTTCCTTTAATTAAGGGGATATGCTAGGTGTACGATCAACATGTTTTAAATGTGGGCCATGCAGACCGAAATGGATGAAAATGGTGGATAATTTGTATTCTGGAAGCCTCCACGTTAGCCTTAAATTTGTTTTTTTATATTTGTCACGAACTTGTAGGATACTAATAACCATAATAAACTCATACACTATTGTTTACATCAACCGGATAAGTTGGATCGGATCGCTAAGTATTTGCATTTGCGGCTCTCTCAGGATCTTAGTAGACGTTATGATCAGTAAGTTTGTTTTATGTTTATTTCCTCAAGAAATATATCAATATCCGTCAAAGCTATTGATAAACTAATACAAGTTTGCCATGGCCATAGACTGGTTCTGGCGATCAGTTTTTTGAAAATGATTCAACTACTCCTCGAGACTAATCGTATGGATCTACAAATAATGGCATCTAAGTCGGCAAGTCACCAATATTTTATGCTTAATAAAAGTCAAGTTTGTAGAGTTTTCCAAAATAGATGATGATTCTCCTAACTATCACAAGGAATGTAACGAGATTCTTGACCATTTTGCTGCTATGGCGCACGCTTCTTTTCCCAACCCACAAGAACGGAATGCGTAAGTTCCTTCTGATCCTCTCAAATCTTTCCAGTGTCAGAGTGGCAGGTCTACAAGGAATCCAAGGTGTTGTTCGTAAAATGGTCAGTGACCAGCTCATACTGGAGGTTCACGAGTCAAATATGGACAAAATCATACCTCCATTGCTGTTCAATATGTGTGACAAGTAAGATATCACAAAATTGCCTGATTACTGTTTAAAGTGTGAGAACTCGACTTTCCAATGACTATTCACATGCAAATCTATCAAAAATGTTTTTTATAAATCATGGGCATACATATCAACACAATCTTTCTATCAAAGGGATTAACTTAGAAACAAGTCACACTTACATTTGAGTCGGAACATTTTTTTGGTTTTTTAACGGTTTCAGAGTATTACACCCACTGAGATCTCATGACTTCCAGTCTTAGAAGCGTTCCGTATCTTCATAACTCACACTTAGTAATTTGGTTAAATGTAAGTATTATGACCTACTTACCGTCGTTGGTTTATTTAGTTCTTATTTCTGATCAAAGCGTCATAGGTTTCTACACCGATATATAATAGTGAGATCGTAGTTATGTAACATAGCTTACTGTTTGACTCTGAATCCAATCTAAAAGCCATTACTCTTAAAATAAGACGTGTTTACTCCGAACTGTTTTATGTGAAAGTGCAGTTGTTTCAGAACTACACTATGAGGGACAAGCAATACAATGGAATCAGTGAGCTAAGGGTGAAGTTGTTATTCGTAACAAGGGATAGAGGGGAGCAGGCGTGCAGAGATTAGTTGGTAGAATCGTTACAGGGGGAGAAAGAAGGGACGAGCAGAAAAGGCGGAAGATGAGAGGAAGGGGAGGGGAAGAAGTGAGAAGGGGAGGCCGAGGAATAGCAGGACAGGGAGGGATGGCAAGAGATACAGACGGTGGACATCAGGGAGAGGACAAGAGACGAGAGGCTGCAAGGAGGGAGGGGGAGAGGTAGGAGGGAGAGAGAGGGAATGCACTTTCACATAAAACAGTTCGGAGTAAACACGTCTTATTTTAAGAGTAATGGCTTTTAGATTGGATTCAGAGTCAAACAGTAAGCTATGTTACATAACTACGATCTCACTATTATATATCGGTGTAGAAACCTATGACGCTTTGATCAGAAATAAGAACTAAATAAACCAACGACGGTAAGTAGGTCATAATACTTACATTTAACCAAATTACTAAGTGTGAGTTATGAAGATACGGAACGCTTCTAAGACTGGAAGTCATGAGATCTCAGTGGGTGTAATACTCTGAAACCGTTAAAAAACCAAAAAAATGTTCCGACTCAAATGTAAGTGTGACTTGTTTCTAAGTTAATCCCTTTGATAGAAAGATTGTGTTGATATGTATGCCCATGATTTATAAAAAACATTTTTGATAGATTTGCATGTGAATAGTCATTGGAAAGTCGAGTTCTCACACTTTAAACAGTAATCAGGCAATTTTGTGATATCTTACTTGTCACACATATTGAACAGCAATGGAGGTATGATTTTGTCCATATTTGACTCGTGAACCTCCAGTATGAGCTGGTCACTGACCATTTTACGAACAACACCTTGGATTCCTTGTATACCTGCCACTCTGACACTGGAAAGATTTGAGAGGATCAGAAGGAACTTACGCATTCCGTTCTTGTGGGTTGGGAAAAGAAGCGTGCGCCATAGCAGCAAAATGGTCAAGAATCTCGTTACATTCCTTGTGATAGTTAGGAGAATCATCATCTATTTTGGAAAACTCTACAAACTTGACTTTTATTAAGCATAAAATATTGGTGACTTGCCGACTTAGATGCCATTATTTGTAGATCCATACGATTAGTCTCGAGGAGTAGTTGAATCATTTTCAAAAAACTGATCGCCAGAACCAGTCTATGGCCATGGCAAACTTGTATTAGTTTATCAATAGCTTTGACGGATATTGATATATTTCTTGAGGAAATAAACATAAAACAAACTTACTGATCATAACGTCTACTAAGATCCTGAGAGAGCCGCAAATGCAAATACTTAGCGATCCGATCCAACTTATCCGGTTGATGTAAACAATAGTGTATGAGTTTATTATGGTTATTAGTATCCTACAAGTTCGTGACAAATATAAAAAAACAAATTTAAGGCTAACGTGGAGGCTTCCAGAATACAAATTATCCACCATTTTCATCCATTTCGGTCTGCATGGCCCACATTTAAAACATGTTGATCGTACACCTAGCATATCCCCTTAATTAAAGGAAGAGCAACAAAAAATCCTACATAACATCCCAGACTAGTGTAACGCATTAATTCGTAAAAATCGCAAACTAAATGTATAGCTTTTAAGCAATAGAACAGCTTTTATTAAAGGTTATAATTGCACGAAATTTCATTGCTTATATTTAAGATTAATTCATTAACTTATACATTCCATTACCATTCTTGACAGCATAGAAGGAAATGTAGTTAGACAAGTGTCACAATCTTTGAGACTGTAGTTACCCAACAAAAATTTAAAAAACAACCGTATGTAGTATGAGTTTGGCTATTTGTTGTCAGAGCACGCACTTATTAGCCAGTGAACAGAGTCTGACTGAAGAGTTTCCACTGCTTCCAGATGAAAAAGATAAATTGTAGTGGTGATACGTCGCACGATTTAGCCCATACATTTGTTTGATCCACCATAGAGTTAATCTTGCGACGATTTTGGGGGTCTGGGCTAAATAACCACATAAGGAGAGGACATCACCTTATTTCAAATGAACAAAAGTGAGGTTGTCAAATAGGGGAATTATCTTAGGCTCTTTGTCAACTCCTGATGGTAGAACATGTCCTTCGACAAGTGAAGGCCTAATCTATTCACAGATACACCTATCTTATTACTCTCAGTTCATTGTGCGCTAGGATTTGGTGTCCAACTAACTTCGGTTGAACTCGTTCATGGCATGCATGAACCTACTACACCAGCCTGTATGGTCTGTAAAATAACACGTCAAACATGTGACCTAACTTATCATTAATTCGGCTGTTCAAATCCCATGTCAAATCAAGACACCCTCATACAACCACAACAGTGACATTTTTCGCGAACAACTTAGTCACCATTTCTTTCGTTGGTACTGTACAAAAACTGTAACATCTATCAACGTTATTATCTATGCTTATATCCACAGCTGACTTTTCGTCCACCAACATCAAGTTGGCTACAAATGCCTCGGAAAAGTTTGATGACACTGGACCTGATGATATTTCTGCATCGCTCATGAAGTATCGTAGTGTGCGATTTCCATTATTCTGCTTAAAACTGTTCAACATGCACATGAAATATGGAACCCACCCTTATGTCTGGAAAGCATTGTTTATAACTTTGCAGATTGAAAACAGGCAGACGTAGCTATACCAACGACTATAGGCCTAATAATGTGACCTTCACACTATTAATAATGGCTCAAAACATCTACAAACAGCTGTAATCATTTTATGTTATAAAATCGGAATGGTCCTTCTAAATAAAAGTTAATGAGTAAGCTCTCCCACTTGACACTTCAGTTGAAAATATTTGATCAAAATAGAAATAGAAGAGACGTTGGCCAGCTAATGCTAGTTGCGAACTTATATTTTGTTTAGGCGTTTAGCAGTATTTTACACAGCATTTTTTCCCTAAAACTTTCCTCATTCAGCTAATGAGTTTGTGAAATGGAGTGCCACTGGTCCTTAAATATTGATCCGTTTAATTAAATGGGTGTTTTCACTCCCTCAATACTTTAAGCCTTTCCACTATTCTAATGGCTGAAAACTGTTAAATTCATACTCGTCTTCTAATAAAAAAGCTTTAAATCAACAGTAATCCAAAAAAATATACGTTATAAAAATTAATGAAGTTGTAGATTATAAAACTGAATGTCAACGAACAATGATATCTACACATTGCTTTCTGATCGAACATGTGTATATATGTCGGCTCGTTCTGTTTTGAATGTCGGAAGTGTGCTTCTTTGTATTTCTGAAGAAAATCTTTGGTCCAAGGTTAGAGTAACATGTTGTACATGAGGAGGAAGAGGTTACACAAAGTGAAGACATCTGCCTCATCGAAACACTCAATCTTCATTAAAAGTTCTCGTATTGACCACCTCGGACCTACGCCATGTGTAAGACTTTCAACGAAAGCCCTATCGGTTATCATGTGTTAGGCTTCAAGGATCATGAGGTTGAGAACCAAGTGTGCTACATCACAATCGTACGTGAACCAACGCGACGTTGATTCGATACAAAACTTATGGAGTCATCGTGCGCTAGAGGTTGTCTAAAGATCAATAGAAATCCTGCGTGTGCTGATAGACTGGAAGAAGAATTGGGAAGAATGCGGCATTCAAGTCATGGGAGCGAAAAATAGTAAAACTTTTATGGTTAGGTGGGGCTGTTTAGGGATCTCTATTCATCATGCCTATCACTGAAGCTTGGTAAGTCCATGTGGCTCCAGAATTTTCAGAGTACAATAACCTGGAAATAGATTGGGGTCTATTGTAACGCTTGCTTGAATAATTCCCAGCTAATTCCTATTGCTTAGAATTCTCTGACCACAATACACTGGACAAGTTCCAAAGAATCAAAAACACGGTGGAAAAGGAGAAGATTATATTCCAAATAGCAAGGTTAAAATGGAAATGAGAAGCCGAAGGCAAAAATAGATAGAACGTTAGTCTCTTTATAGCATTTACATGAGAAGCTTCTGGATAGAAATTCACGTGATCGACTGGATTAGATTTAGCCGATCAGAGTCCAGCTAACAGTACGAGAATTTTCTACCCCGTTCTCCAAGAATCGATCAGGCACTGATTGGATAGGAAATTAGCCAATCAGCGCGCGGCTGACGCCGTCATGCTTTATTCTATGTCTCCTAAAACCTCCCCTTTGAGCACATTCGTAGGATCTGGTGCTAGGGTCCAACTGCAACCGTGTGACTGGCTTGTACTTTCGATTAGTCCATCTTCTCGGCAATAAGGAAGTCGTGTCACTCCTTGCTTGCACAGAAGCTGACTTGTCTGTTCTAGGAGTTTTAATTTCGAAGAAGTCCAGCAGAACGTCAAGGGGTATTCGATACTGAGTCTCGTTGCTGGCTATCGAAGTTGCTTTCAGTTGGTTAGCATGACGTACCCAAACTCCTGAGTATACATAACTTCGTGCTAGTGCTTTCATGCGATTTATTCTAGGATGTACCGCGTGCAACTGTTTTAGTACTGTTGGTTGTAGCTTCACTAAGATTATGACTCGGTTGGCAAACAGCAGGCAGTCGTTGATGATTGAAAGAGAGAGTCTACGCTGGTACAACTGTTGAAGCTCTGTAGGGTTGATCTTCGAGGACCACCCTTTCAGGTGAAACTTTCTAACTTCTTGCAGAAGTGGGTCTCCAAAGATTTCTTCGCTGACTTCCTCTGACGACACTGGAGTGTTTCGAATGGCATCTGCTACTACACTCTGCATTTCTGGGTCTGCTGCTGTTGACGCTGCTGTTGATCATGTCCTCTGGTTCAGGATGCTGAACTCCAATTAGTCGAGAGAGAGCGTTGGCTTGACCGATAGTATTTGTCGACTGATACTTGAAACAGAAATCATAACTCAGGTTCATCGTTGCCCAGCGCTGTTATCTATTAGCCGTATAGACAGGTATTCTTTTTTTAGAACCAAAGATTGCAATCAAAGGTTTGTGACCTACTCCAACTCCATAACTAGATGCAACAACAGTTCCCAAGCTGGAATCGAAGTGTGTCAAAAGAAGCTTTGAGCTGAGCATAGGCTTGACTTTATCGATAGATGCTTGACATTGTGCTGGCCACTGCCAAAGTTTATCTTTTGACAGTAGTTCATTCAAGGGACCTTTCACTCGATGCATTTCAGGCAGGAATGCGCTGTAATGACTGATTAACCCCAAGAAGGATCTTAATGAAGAGACATCATTTGGTGCAGGCATCTTCTGAATGCCTTCGATGTTGGCTAAATATGGCCGGCGACCGTTCTTATCTAAGATGAAACCAAGGTATTTGATCGAATGCATGAAGAAGATACACTTTTCTTCACGCATTTGGAAACCATACTGTTACGGGAGAAATGAAGACATTTGGCTGATTAAAACATTTATATAAATATCATCAATTTCAATGTGTTTTTTGGGTATATTTTACTTAACTTATGAGCTTGTTTGAATTATCATTGTCAGCCATTTTGGACTCCTGTTTGTTTTGGTTTGTTCGTTTGCAGTTTTCTGCTCCATGAACCTATAAAATTGAAGGTATTTGAAATTATTATAATTATTGTTGTTAGAACGACATTGTGGTCAACTATTTGTGAATTGCGAATAGACTGGTACATAACTTTGGAATTTGTTTTTTTTGTTTGGTTAATTTGGGTTCGTGAATTGCAAATAGATCGACATACTGTACTTCAATAAAGGAAGGAGCAAAACTTGGACGTAACAAAATTTCTTCAATTTTGGTTCTTCGCCGTACATTGGATACCTCTGGACATTTTGGGTCCAAAGGTCTTCAATTTTAATTTGTTGTTATACATTGGATACGTTTGGACAATTCGGGTCCAAAGTTCTTCAATTTCAATTCTGTTGTTATACATTGGATACGTTTGGACAATTCGGGTCCAAAGTTATTCAATTTAAATTCTGTTGTCATTTATTGAATACGTGTGAATATTTTGCGTCAAAATTTTGTTATTATTGGTTGAACTCGTTTGGATTGATTCACATTTGCTTGGTAATCGATTTCCAACAAAGCATAAAATGGAAACCAGAAGCGAAAATTCGAAAGAAAATGACGAAATGGATGGCAAAGATTCTAAAGCTGTCTGTGTTATATCTGCTTTTAATGATGATAAACGTGATGATATTAGTGTTATTAGTAAGTCCTCAGCTCAGTTTAGTACTTCTAGATTGAGGTTAGTTAAGGCATCACTAAAAAGAAGAATTTGGAAAGGAGGCTTGAGTTAGAAATGCAGCTGAAAGTGTTAGATCTTCAAGAGGAGGTTGAAATGGCGGAATTAGAATGTAAGGTCATGGAAAACTATATGTAAGCGACTAGTCATCTACATGCGAGACAGGGGAATTCTTCAAATGTGTTTGCACCTACCTCACACCGTGAACGCAAGGGAGTCGTTAATTGTATTAGAAAGGTATTGTAGTTGGATTTTCTACCGTAGCAGTTCAATTCGATTCCAATAGACGTATGTTATACGCACCCTCCGTTTTCGAATATCAAAACACAATAATTCTAGGAGAAAGTGGTCTATTTATAGAGAATAAATGGAAATACAAA